GAACAGCCTCTCTCTGTGACTCTACAGCCTGACAGCCTGCAGGGAGACAGACAAAACCTCTCAGATAACTAAGATCACCTCATAATTACCAGTATTACTTTAAAGTAAATGTGACTACTTTCATACAATGCAACTCCTTTCAATAATTACAGTTAAAGGTGTAGAATACTCTTCGAATACCCAGTAATGCTGACCTCAGTATCTCCAGTTTACAGTGTGGAATACCAAGTAATAATGACCTCAGTGTCCCCAATTTAGTATGGAATACTCAGTAATAATAACCTCAGTATCTCCAGTTTACAGTGTGGAATACTCAGTAATACTGACCTCTGTATCCCCAGTTTAGTGTGGAATACCCAGTAACATTGACCTCAGTATATCCAGTTTACAGTGTGAAATACCCAGTAAAACTGACCTCAGTATCTCCAGTTTACAGTGTGAAATACCCAGTAAAACTGACCTCAGTATCTCCAGTTTACAATGTGAATCCCCCAGTCCAGTAGAGAGCAGTGTCACTCCTGGATCCTGCAGGTCATTGTTACTTAGGTCCAGCTCTCTCAGGTGTGAAGAGTTTGATCTGAGAACTGAAGCCAGCTTCTCACAGCATTTCTCTGTGAGATTACAGCTGTCCAACCTGGAAAAGAAAACATTACATATACAAAACTTACACATTGTTAATGGTACTGTGTATTATTAACAATGCATGTGAAAATTATATGTGAATCCTCACGTAACATATTCAGACCACTGAAATAGCTTCCACTTCTGTCGTCAGCCATCTTTCTGTCAGTAGGACTGGGTATCGAACTTCGGTGCTCTGATTCTATTGAGGATCAATAAATTAATTCTCTGTCTGTGAGCTAATAAGCATGCAGCATACTCGTGTAAAGATGTAAAGTCACTGCTGATTGGCTGTCTAAAGGAAACGTCACACAAATGTGTTATAGAGGGAAAAACTTGTGTCCAAACCTGGGAACCGCAGGAATTTTTATTTTACCTTTTAATTTTAAGGAATTAAAAGTGTGGCTTCACGTTTCCAGACTGCGACCATTTAGCCGCATTTTATGACCATTTTTGGAGACAGTGTGACTACATTTTATGACCAGGCGCCCCTGTACCTGGGGGGTATTACAGAAAGCTTGGTTAACTTACCATTTGGTAAATCTTAACCTCTGGGTTGATATACGTCAAACCCGCATACCATGAGTATGTCGGTTCCAAAACACCTGAGAAGAGTAAGTTCAATCAACCTCCTATTGGTTACCCAGAGTTAA